CTATTTTAGAAGACGTGTATTGACCTCTTTTGTTCCTAATACCAGATTTAAATTGACGCAACTTAACAGTACAATCGACGTAAGCTAAATAAGATGTAGCTGTCCATGGCACTGATTTCTGTGTGTGTGTGTGTGTGTGTGTGTGTGTGTGTGTGTGTGCGTGCAAGTAGAAAAAACATGTTGACTCACCCTACTTGTAGAGAAACGCCAATGCCATCCTCCTCTTTCATGTTGCCTAAACGGTCTATGACTATGACTCTGTCATACAGTACACACTTTTAGTTTTTGTTGTAGGCTACCTGGCTAAAATACTTGCTTGCTAGCCTAACTTCCTTTCATGGGCAACGATACGCCAGGCCAGCTAGTTAACATTAGCATGAACTTCCATCCTCACAATGAATGTATGAATTTAGGGTTGGATCAGAATCACCTTTATAATCATTGGCCAGTACAGAGAATTAAGTAAAACCACAAGTCCAAATACCTATCTCCATCGATAGCTAATTTAGGAAAGGGACGATTTTAGCTAGCTAGCACAACAACACAACGAGATGCAATTTTTTTTTTTTTTTACTGTCAATAATGCCGTTTGGCTTCCTTTGACACTTTTTTTGGTGCACCAGGACCATTCACAGCTGATCTCACTCAGTTTAGCTCAATGCTGATTGGCTATTATTATAAAAAAAAATATCAAGGGAGGCCAAATTCTCGCTTGCTTCCCTTGCATTCAATGCTAGGCGCGGCAACAATGTCATACTCTTTCTGACCAGACAGCATCAGATAGATGCCCTACACATACAGACAGAGGGGTGCTGTTTCGCTCGCTCTGATGCTTTCTCCGGTGAGATACATTCAGCCTCTTGCGAATTGAAGAACATTTATGAAACACAGAGAGACGAAAGATAGGTTATTTTGTATCTTTTTTTTCTTGGTACATTTCTTGGGGAAGCCTGGGTTCCCTTGGCATCCATGAATACATGCCACTGAATTCTACTAATTACTACACATGCTTAATTACCTCACTTTTGTTTTGAGCCGACTTTGCCATGGGCTTTGAATGGAGCACCTGGCTCAAGCCCGGGAGGCAGTCCAGTTCCAAATCGAACGCAATCAACTTTCAGCGAGTGCAAAACACGCCTACATGGGCAACCGGCGAGATTAAATGAAACCCTCATTGTCATGACAATCATAAACAGAAGAGGGGGTGAGTTGAAGAGGCAGTTGGTTTAATTTGTATTTAAGAGGAATGTTTCATGTTTCACAGAAAAACGAGTAACTTAACGATGTCGGATCAGCTGATTTTGATGATGATCAGGTTTACCTTGGGGTGAGTAAAAGTGTGCTATAACTTGTTATACAACAGGTGGGTCTAATCCTGAATGCTGATTGGTTAAAATCGCATTCCAGCCGGTGTCTATTCCACAAATTACCACCGGCTAAATCTATGACGTTAAAATGGCTATTTACCCTGTTCCATCTGACTGGGCAATCCACTGTCTCGTCAGCCCAGCCAGGCACTTTATAAACTTGATCTCCACTATAAAAAGCATTTAGACACACTCACATTTCTTTTAGACTAACATTTTGTTTTCAACAGTGGAGATTTGTATAAACCTTGCTGTCTGTCTCTCCGACATCTGCAACATTGTATCAATATTCAAATTCCATCTCCAGCTGTCCCATAGTAATGAACATGTCGGGACGAGACAGACAGGCAGGTATCGTTTCTCAGCCAGTCTAAATCATGAATCAGCTGGCATCATTTTTATGGATATATACAAAGAAATTTCAATTTAAAAAATATACAACGAAACGAAGTGCAGCTAGTTTGCAGTCTTTTCAGCTTCAGTTTGAAATGATTGTTAGCTGTGTTGTTGGCTAGCTCCTCTGAACAACAGTGTCCGGACGAGTGACCACATTTTCGAAATCGCGCCTCACTAGCTCATTGTTATGGAAGTGTCCAAATACATTTCACTAGAAAACAGCTTAAACAAATGCAAATGAAGCTACTTTGCTGTTATTCTGGCTGCACTTTTTGACGTGACTAAGTTAGCCGTAGTTGGCTGGCTAGCAAGCAAGGAATAGGGCTGGCAACGGAACATTTATAATGAAGAACTGGGTCCCATCCAAAGATACAGAACAAAAAGACTGAACGACTGGGTCGCGTCTCTAGCAACCGAACCAATAGAACGAACGACCAGCCGGCTTGGGTATCAACCCTAGATTTGTGCCGGGACTATATCTTGTGTAAAACTGAAATAGTATGAATACATTCATTAAAATAATATTTTTCATGAAAATATGTCAATCATTATTTGAATATGTTGGTAACCCGTTGTATAAAAGTAATAATGCCCTCGAAGCCGGTGTTTGTAGGATATATTGGCACTGTTTGCCGGCCCTCGACGAATATATCCTCCAAACGCCGGCTTCGAGGACATTATCACTTAAATAGAAAATGCATAATGAGCTGATTTTGAGCTGGCAGTGCTAGCTAGCAACTGAACCAGAATCTGGGTTTACGCTACAGGATTGTGTTTATACAGGCAGCTCAATTCTGATATTTTTTACCCACTAATTGGTCTTTTGACCCATCACATTAGAACACAAAAATAACAATTAGTGGAGAAAAAAAATATCAGAATTGGGCTGCCTGGGTAAACGCTGCCCAGGAGACGTTGAATGGCGATTCTTCTTTAAGCCCAGGAAGCCTCCAGTCAACTAGCCCTTGATCATGATTCTCAGTTCCATTACATTACACATAAGAGTCATTGAACGAAGGCGTCTTCTATACAGGGGAGTTTTGTTAAGAGCCCCGACGCTCGGTCTGAACATTAACACGCATCGCTTGCGGTACGGTTTCGGAGGCATAAGGACCTTATCTTTCATATCAGCGAGAAATCATTTCCAAAAAACAAAAGGTTAAATTGATACGTCTTTTTAGGGTTAGGGAGTGAACGTTATTTATAATAAGGGTTCCATGGAGAAAATTTGACCTCTGAAATGAAAATGTATGTCCCTCCCTTAGGCAAAATATTGTTGTGGTTTGAGATCTTCACTGAGTGTGCGCTAACGTTAGCTAATGCTCAATCACCTCAGCAGCCAACCTTAACCTGTCTAGCACAGTGAATCTAGCTAACTGATAACTCACTGTACAGCTGATGTGGGTGGAAGGACCACATACCCCATATGTAACTCTGTGTTGTTGTTTTTATCGCACTACTATGCTTTATCTTGGCCAGGTCGCAGTTGTAAATGAGAACTTGTTCTCAACTGGCTTACCTGGTTAAATAAAGGTGAAAAAAAAAAAAAAACTTCTTTCCGTGATGTTTATTGTACACAAACAACACACACTTTTAGGACTGACTAGCTCCAGCACAGAACAATCTGGATTATATGCCAGGGCCATACATCAAGTCAAAGGGGTATATTTGCATTCACAACACCCCTCCAGCAGTGCCGAGTCCCTTCTGTACCTATACTAAAGGCAGGAACAATAAAACATTTTCTAAAAACACTTTGCAGAGTAAACAGTTAAAGCAATAAGAATCAGATAACAGATAAGTAATTGTAAAACAGATAACTTGTCCAGTAATCAACTAAACAACAATGCATTAGTCCTCGTTTCTTTTAAACAGACTGTCTCAGCCTGGCTGAGCTGGAAAGAACATGGCATGAACTTGGTGGGTGGGGTGTGTAATGGAAGTATGTTTGAAGGTGCTGTGTAGCTGTTCGTCTGCGCTTTTCTGCCACAATGGACTGGGGCAGTGCCACTGTAGTACCCGCCGATGCCCCCTTGTGTGGCCGTAATTCTCCCCCCCAAAAATCCATGCCTTGTGGCCATTGTGCTCAATATAATAATTACAATTCCAATCGCCATGTTCCAAAAGCACCTCTCACTCTCGTGGCTCTCTCAGATATTTGAATTCTTATTAACCAATGCCCGTCACTTGATCGGGTCCTTTTCACAGGCCTTGCAGCACCGAAGTAGGCTGCAAATGAAGACAGACACATCAGGGATGCAACAGCATGAGTCCTTATGGAATTCCAAGACGCATATTTCAAAAGCAATGAGGCTGGTGCAACCGATCAGAATGTTTAGCTTAAAATGTTAAACTATTAGGCTATTTCTTCACATTATAAACGGCAGCAAGTGCACGGCAGTATGCTATAAGGCTAAATGCAATTAGGGGGAAAACACTGTTCTCAAAAGCACACCACCAGAGATGTTGCCAGAAAATGGAATGTTCATTTCTCTACCATAAGCCACCTCCAATGTGATTTTAGAGAATTTGGCAGTACATCCAACCGGCCTCACAACCGCAGACCACGTGTATGGCGTTGTGTGGGCGAGCGGTTTGCTGATGTCAGGTTTGCTGATGTCAACATTGTGAAGAGAGTGCCCCATGGTGGCGGTGGGGTTATGGTCTGGGCAGGCATAAACTACGGGCAACGAACACAATTGCATTTTATCGATGGCAATTTGAATGCACAGAAATACCGTGACGAGATCCTGAAGCCCATTGTAAGCCCCATTAAAAAAAAAAGGTATCTGTGACCAGAAGATGTATATCTTTATTCCCAGTCATGTAAATTCCATACATTAGGGCCTAATTAATTGATTTCAATTGACTGATTTCCTCATATGAAGTGTAACTCAGTAAAATCTTTGAAATTGTTGCATGTTGCGTTTATATTTTTGATCAGTATATTTCAATAATAAAGATGTTACTATAGTAGCCTCCATAATTACTGTTCTGGGATTTGCATGTCACTGAGGAATAATGAAAAGGTTGGGTGTGATTATAAATAGCCCCCATGGACTGTGACAGAGAAGAAATTATGACTCAAAGTTGAATCAACATTGCCGCCCTGTGATGAAATGCAGAATAACGACCATTTATTTTAAGTGTGAAGTCATCATCCTGCGACGAGGGAAAACGCAGAGAGAAATGTGTCACTGCTAGGCAAAAGTGTTTCCACGTCAATTAGTGGGGAACATGGCGCCAATACAACAAGAAGCAGAGATCCAGTTCGCTCAAAGATTGGCATCTAATGAGAAGCCCATGCGGACAAAGGCCATCAAGAAACTAAGAAAATATATCAGTGTTAGGTCACAGAAAATCAACAGTAAGGCTAACGGGGTTACTAGAAAATGGACCACGCACTTAGCTTTCACTTAACGGTGGAAGGGATACGCAGCATGTCCGCCTCATCTCTTCGTGTTGCTAGCTTACTAACCCTTTGATTCGTTTGTGCTTGTTAAGCCATCGGAATTTCATGGTTTAACAATACAATAGTCGTTAGCACAAACAATTATGTAAAAGGTCTTAGAATGTAGAACACATTAAAGAAAAGGGTCACACCTGGTCGGAAATTCAAGTCGCACAAGCCCAGTAACGATGCGACCAACAAAGTTGCTAACTCCCTTTTATAGTAGTCATTTTGTATCCAGGTGTTTCACCGAGTGACTTTTCTCTAGGTGGGTTCACAGGCGACGAGTTACTTAAACTATGGAAGGGCCTTTTTTATTGCCTGTGGATGCAGGACAAGCCACTTCTTCAGGTAACGTCAGTGCCACGCTGTGACCCAACTTATTTTAATTAATGTAAAAAGGTTCAACAAGAAGAGTTGATACACAAGTCTGACAATTTGTGGGTCCAAGAGAAGGTGCATTAATAGGAATTTTGCTCACAGGAGGAGTTGTCGAATCAGATATCTGGCCTGATGCACAGCTTCCAGAACGTCCAGAGTAGTAAGTCTTCATAAAAATAAATACCATGTATTCATTATTGTCATTCTTTAAATATTTCCTTTGTGTCTGTGAACACACTTTCAGATAATTTTGACAGACCCTGTACAGAACGTGTACTCCAATTTTAGATTTGTTTCTTTTTTTCATTGAGTCTAATCCCTTTTGTAGAGTTTTTGTTTCTGGAGACTTTCCTGCATACCATCAAAAGAGAATGGACTGGCATTGACAGGCTTCGCATGGATACGTTTTTCCAGGTCAGTATATAGGTGCGAGTCACTGGTGCTTCCTAAAGCAGGAAGCACCAGTGACTCGGTTAATAAAAAAGTGGTCAGATGACGCAGATGCTAAGCTACAGGACTGTTTTGCTAGCACAGACTGGAACATGTTCCGGGATTCTTCAGATAGCATTGAGGAGTACACCACATCAGTCACTGGCTTCATCAATAAGTGCATTGATGATGTCGTCCCCACAGTGACCGTACGTACATACCAGAAGCCATGGATTACAGGAAACATCCGCACTGAGCTAAAGGGTAGAGCTGCCGCTTTCAAGGAGCAGGACTCTAACCCGGACGCTTATAAGAAATCCTGCTATGCCCTCCGACTTACCATCAAATAGGCAAATAGTCAATACAGGACTAAGACTGAATCGTACTACACCGGCTCTGACGCTCGTTGGATGTGGCAGGGCTTGAAAACTATTAGACTACGAAGGGAAGCACAGCCGCGAGCTGCCCAGTGACACAAGACTTCCAGACGAGCTAAACCACTTCTATGCTCGCTTCGAGGCAAGCAACACTGAAGCATGCATGAGAGCACAAGCTGTTCCGGATGACTATGTGATCACGCTCTCCGTAGCCGATGTGAGTAAGACTTTTAAGCAGGTCAACATTCACAAGGCCGCAGGGCCAGACGGATTACCAGGACGTGTACTCCGAGCATGTGCTGACCAACTGGTAAGTGTCTTCACTGACATTTTCAACATGTCCCTGACTGAGTCTGTAATACCAACATGTTTCAAGCAGACCACCATAGTCCCAAGCAGACCAACATAGTTATTTTAGAGCCCAAGGACTCTAAGATAACCTGCCTAAATGACTACCGACCCGTGGCACTGACGTCTGTAGCCATGAAGTGCTTTGAAAGGCAGGTCATGGCTCACATCAACACCATTATCCCAGAAACCCTAGACCCACTTCAATTTGCATACCGCCCCCAAAAATCCACAGATGATGCTATCTCTATTGCACTCCACACTGCCCTTTCCCACCTGGACAAGATGAACACCTACGTGAGAATGCTATTCATTGACTACAGCTCAGCATTCCACACCATAGTGCCCTCAAAGCTCATCACTAAGCTAAGGATCCTGGGACTAAACACCTCCCTCTGCATCTGGATCCTGGACTTCCTGACGGGCCACCCCCAGGTGGTAAGGGTAGGTAACAACACATCTGCCACACTGATCCTCAACACAGGGGGCCCCTCAGGGGTGCGTGCTCAGTCCCCTCCTGTACTCCCTGTTCACCCATGACTGCATGGCCAGGCACGACTCCAACACCATCATTAAGTTTGCCGACGACACAACAGTGGTAGGCCTGATCACCGACAACGATGAGACAGCCTAAAGGGAGGAGGTCAGAGACCTGGCCGTGTGGTGCCAGGACAACAACCTCTCCCTCAACGTGACCAAGACAAAGGAGATGATTGTGGACTACAGGAAAAAAAAGAGGACTGAGCACACCCCCATTCTCATCGACGGGGCTGTAGTGGAACAGGTTGAGAGCTTCAAGTTCCTTGGTGTCCACATCACCAACAAACTATCATGGTCCAAACACACCAAGACAGTCGTTAAGAGGGCACGACAAAGCCTATTCCCCCTCAGGAGACTGAAAAGATTTGGCATGGGTCCTCAGATCCTCTCAAAATTCTACAGCTGCACCATCGAGAGCATCCTGACTGGTTGCATCACCGCCTGGTATGGCAACTGCTTGGTCTCCGACTGCAAGGCACTACAGAGGGTACTGCGTACGGCCCAGTACATCACTGGGGCCAAGCTTCCTGCCATCCAGGACCTCTATACCAGGCGGTGTCAGAGGAAGGCCCTCAAAATTGTCAAAGACTCCAGCCACCCTAGTCATAGACTGTTCTCTCTGCTACCGCATGGCAAGCGGTACCGGAGTGCCAAGTCTAGGTCCAAAAGACTTCTCAACAGCTTATACCCCCAAGCCATAAGACTCCTGAACAGCTAATCATGGCTACCCAGACTATTTGCACTGCCCCCCCCCTCCCCCCCACCCCATATTTTTACGCTGCTGCTACTCTGTTAATTATTTATGCATAGTCACTTTAACTCTACCCACATGTACATATTACTTCAAGTACCTCAACTAGCCGGTGCCCCCGCACATTGACTCTGCACCGGTACCCCCCTGTATATATAGCCTCCCTACTGTTATTTTATTTTACTTCTGCTCTTTTTTTCTCAACACTTTTGTTTGTTTTATTCTACTTTTTTATTAAAAATAAATGCACTGTTGGTTAAGGGCTGTAAGTAAGCATTTCACTGTAATGTCTGCACCTGTTGTATTCGGCGCATGTGGCCAGTACAATTTGATTTAATCCATGAAAATGTTATCAGCATTACCTTACCCAATAAATCATCATGTATAGTTGGAGGATAAACTGTGAAAATAATTTGGACATGAAGAAATTACAAATCCTTACCTCTCTTTTTGTCTTTCTCTCTGACAGCTCGTTCGTTTCGTGTTCAGGAACACTTTTGAAATGATGAAGAGGAAAGAATGGGAGACCAGGTGGGTGATGCTTTGACCCTAGACTTCACCCCATCTTGAACTTGGAAAACATCTGACAAACTTTGATTTTGAACTGTAATGTCCATTTAAGCCTTTATGCATGCATCCTTCCTGTGATGTTCAAATAACTTGTTTTGTCTTTCTACAGTGTGGTGACCAGGTTTCTGGAGCTCCTGACTGCCCAGATCCTCCACAGCACCAGCGGAGCCCCCTGTGGGTTGCAGTTTCACATACTGGACCTCTACATGACCGAGCTGGCTGCAGTTGGCTCAGCCGAGGTATGACTTATGTTTACTGTAAGTGCTGATCTAGGTTTAGTTTTGCTGCTACAATTAGGGTTATAATTGGGAGGTAATACATCAGCTTATGAAGGTAGAGATGTGAAATTACTAAAGTATGATAACGATATGGCTGTCATAATAATGGTTGGGGTTTGTTGGGTTTTAGGAATTCATATTGTGTGTGTGTGTTAGCTAGTTCCATTCTGAGATTGGTTCCACCACAGTTGAATGATTTAGGGCTTTGATTGTGGCTCACAGCGGCTCAGAACCTGACGTTCATCGACCCGTTATGCAAAACAGCATCCAAAACCAAAGAGTGAGTTTTGAAGTGAACTTTTGTGCAAGGGGCGACAACAGCTGCTTGAGTTATACCACTGTCTTTATCTATGACCCTCTTCAAATTAATGGCCATCACCCTTTGACTGTTTCAACCCCCTCTCCACATTCCCCTTTTCTCTTTCTCCTTCCCTCGTTCCCTTTGTCCCAGTCGGATCCTGCTCAAGGCTATCTGCAGCAGCATCTTCAGTGCCATCGTGGACGAGGCTCCCTTCGCCATTGAAGACCTGCTGAAGGAGGTGAAGGCTACAGGTGGAGGATCTGAGGAGTCTGACTCGGGACAGGCTTCTGAAGAAGGAGAAGAGGAGGAAGAGAAAAAGAAGCCTCCGAAGGGCAAAAAAGCTGCAAAGAAATCCCCCATGAAAACCACTGGAAAGCAGACCAACTGTAGGCATTGAAAGTCTGAGGACTAACTGGTAGAGAAATTAATAATACAAGGCCTCTAATTAAAAATGTCCAGATATTCAATATTTTATAAGACTTGTCCTCTCTTCCCTTTGTGGTTTTAGGCACTGTATCAACTAAGGAAGAAGATGAAGATAGTCTGGAGGATGATGAAATGCTCCATCTGGAGAGTGACTCGGAGTCTGAGATACCAGATGACGGGGGGATCGGACCTGTTCTCCAGTTTGACTACTCTGCCCTGGCGGACAGGCTGTTTGGGCTAGCCAGCCGTAGCAACACCCCCAGCCACAACAGACAGAGACTCTACAAAGTCATCAAGACGTAAGTAAAATGCACACACTTATACATTAGAATAGCTTGATATGGACTCAGATTGAGGAATTGAGTCTTTTTTTCTTTTCTTTTTTGTTCCCCTGCAGTCTCCGGGATCTCAGTGATGGTAGGAATCCTGATGGTCATAACTATTTAATCAGAGTATCCCTATTATAGATGTGCAGAGAAGCTGACGTCTCTCTCCCTTTTGTCTTGCTATCTCAGGAGTCTTCCCACAGGACGAGTACCCAGAGGAAGTGTCAACGGATGAGGATGACGATGAAATGTTTGGCAGCAGAAAGAGGATGAAGAGGCCTGGAGGAGGAAGAAGAGAGCTCATCAGACAAGAAACCTAAAGGTACCTCAAACTCACTATTTAAACACTAACCTTTGACCTTAGGTCTTTGTTACTGTGATTTCCATAGATATTAAGCGTCTTTGTTTATTTGTAAATTTTTTCAATATTGACTGAACAAAAATAAAAATGCAACATGCAACAATTTCTAAGATTTTGCTTAGTTGCAGTTCATATATGTCACGGTTCAGACAGACGACCAGAGGACCACAATTGCGTCACACCAGAAAGTTTATTAAAACTTAAGGGAAAAGGGAAGTAGGGAGTGAATGAAGGCTCCAGGGGTAACAGGGATCCCGTCCAATGTGCTGGGTCTGTGCCCCCCCCAGTGGCAGCGATGCGTCCTATGAAGCCGGTGGTGGGTGGTCCAGAAGTCCTGGGGGGGGGAGACACAGACACAACAGGGCGGAATGAAACAAGGCAGCAGTACAGTTCAAGGGAAATCCAAAATACGTAGTAGCAAGGCAGAAGGCTGGTCAGAGTTACCGGGATAGAAGAGTAGTCAGGAGTCGTTATGGCAGAAGCAGGTCTGGATCTCCTGGGGCAGAAGAGTATCCAAAAATCAGGCAGGTCCGGGGTCACAAAACCAGGGTGAGCCAGAAGCGCGAGCAAACAGGTTCCGGGTGTGAGCTTTGCAGACGATCTGACAAAGGAGAGCTGAAAGACAGGGCTTTAAATACTGGGAGAGGTTGTGGGTAATGCAGCGCAGCTGGCAGAGTAATTAGAGCAGAGCAGAGCAGGGACAGGTGGAGCTAGTTAGGCTGAGTAGAGAGAGTGGTGAGCAGAGTGGAAGAAAATTAAGGTGGTAACCCGGTGGAGTGAGAGGCTCATGACAGAACCCCCCCCCCAAGGGACGGCCCCAGAAGTCCCAAGAGCAACACCACGCCGGGCGGGAGGAGGGGAGCCGGAGGAGGGCTAGAACTCCTCCGAACGGTCCGAGTGAACGTCCTCATCCTCGGAGGAAGCCGGAGGGCCGTGGTCGGGAGATGGGACAGGTCCCGAGACAGGATCAGGCACAGGACAGGAAGCCGAGCGGGCAGGACGGTTAGGGACCCCTCTGGGGCGGCCCCTACGGATTGCAGGTTGATCCGGATGCCGTTGGTGGAAAGCGGTGATGAGAGTCCTATCCACAATCCGACTAGCTGGCACCCAGGTCCTTTCCTCAGGTCCATAGCCCTCCCAGTCAATGAGGTACTGGAGACCCCTACCCCTCCGTCTGGACCGAAGCAGGCGGCGGACGGTGTAAACCAGACCACCATCGACGAGCCGTGGAGGAGGAGGACAAGGCGCAGCAGGGACCAGCGGACTCTCATGGATGGGCTTAATCTTAGACACATGGAAAGTGGGGTGCACCCTCAGGGAATTAGGCAGTTGGAGCCGGACAGCAGTAGGGCTAATCACTCTTATGATAGGGAATGGGCCAATGAACCGAGGTGCCAGCTTCTGCGACTCCACCCTGAGTGGCAGGTTCTTTGATGACAACCACACCCTTTGACCAACATGGTAGGTGGGAGCAGGAATTCTCCGACGGTTGGCCCCGGTAGTGTAGCTGGCAACGGATCTGAGGAGTGTGGCTCGGGCTTGTGACCAGGTGCGGCGACATCGACGGGCAAAAGCAAGTGCAGATGGGCAAGTAACCTCCTCTTCCTGGCTGGCAAATAGAGGAGGCTGGTATCCATAAACACATTGGAAAGGGGACATACCGATGGCAGAGCAGGTCAGTGAATTGTGTGCGTACTCCACCCATGTCAATTGCTGCGACCAGGAGTGGGGGTTGCGTGAAGTCATGCATCGCAGTGCCTTCTCGAGCTCCTGATTAGCCCGCTCTGACTGCCCATTGGATTGGGGATGGAATCCGGAAGTCAGACTGACTGTGGCTCCCAGCAGGTGACAGAACTCCTTCCAAAAAGCGGAGGAGAATTGTGGACCACGGTCAGAAACTACATCCTTAGGCAGTCCGTGGATCCGGAAGACGTGTTCCAGGACCACCTGGGCGGTCTCCTTGGCGGTTGGGAGCTTGGGGAGGGGAATGAAGTGTGCCATCTTGCTGAAACGGTCAACTATGGTGAGAATGACGGTCATGCCACTTGAAGGGGGCAGCCCCGTGACAAAGTCAAGGGCGATGTGAGACCAGGGACGTCTGGGCACAGGCAGGGGCTGCAGCAATCCGGCTGGGGGCCGGCAGGACGACTTGTGTTGGTTGCAGATGGGGCAGGCTTGGACGAATTCCCGTACATCCCTTCTCAGAGAGGGCCACCAGAACCTCTGGGCGAGCAGGTTGTAAGTGCGGGTGGAGCCAGGGTGACAAGCTAGGCGGGAGTCATGTCCCCACTGAACGACCTGGGACCTCAGGTCTTCGGGGACAAAAAGGCGGTCAGCTGGGCAAGTGCTGGGACCTGGCTGGTTACGGAGAGCCTCCAGCACCTGTTCCTCAACAGCCCAGGTCAGAGCTGCAACGATGCAGGGACTTGGCAGAATCGACACAGGGTCCTTGGAGGGGGTGTCATCCTTCTGGAATTGACGGGAGAGGGCGTCTGGCTTGGTGTTGCGTGATCCAGGCCGGTATGACAGAGTGAAATTAAACCTGGTGAAGAACAGGGCCCAGCGGGACTGCCTGGAGTTCAACCGTTTGGCCGTGCGGATGTACTCCAAGTTCTTATGATCGGTCCAAACGAGAAATGGAATGGTGGACCCCTCCAGCCAGTGACGCCACTCCTCCAAGGCAAGCTTCACAGCCAGCAGCTCACGGTTCCCTATGTCGTAATTGCACTCAGAGGGGGACAACCGACGTGAGAAAAAGGCACAGGGATGGAGCTTCCTATCCTCCGCAGCCCACTGAGAAATCACAGCACCAACTCCCACATCCGAGGCGTCCACCTCCACAATGAATTGCCGGTCCACATCAGGCATCTGGAGGATGGGAGCGGAGGTGAACCTCACCTTGAGGGTACTGAAGGCTTTGTCGGCTGCTGGGGTCCAGGTGAAGGGTTGCTTGGTGCTGGTTAGAGCAGTGAGAGGGGCAGCAACGGTACTGTAGTTCCGGATAAACTTTCTGTAGAAGTTAGCAAACCCCAGAAACTGTTGCAGCTTCTTTCTGTTCTCCGGAACTGGCCATGAAGTGACTGCTGATACTTTGGCAGGATCCATTTGGATACTTCCCTCTGCCACTATGTACCCCAGGAAGGCCACTGTCTTGACGTGAAACTCACATTTCTCTGCCTTGGCGTAGAGGGAATTCTCCAGAAGACGATGAAGGACTTGCTGGACATGGCGGGTGTGTTCAGACAGGTTTCTGGAGTAGATTAAGATGTCATCCAGGTAAACGAAGACAAACTTGTTTAACATGTCCCGCAGTACATCATTCACTAGAGCCTGGAACACAGCAGGAGCATTGGTGAGGCCAAAAGGCATAACCAGATACTCGTAGTGGCCTGTTGGTGTATTGAATGCGGTTTTCCATTCATCTCCCTCCCGGATCCGCACTAGGTGGTAAGCGTTTCTGAGATCCAACTTGGTAAAAACAGTGGCTCCCTGGAGCAACTCAAAAGCAGAGGTGAGCAGAGGCAGAGGGTAACGGTTTTTCACTGTGATGTCGTTGAGTCCCCTGTAGTCGATGCAGGGGCGAAGAGATCCGTCCTTCTTCCCCACAAAGAAGAAGCCAGCACCAGCAGGAGATGAAGATGAACGGATTAATCCTGCGGACAGAGAGCCATTGATGTAGTCCTCCATGGACCTTCTTTCAGGAGCAGACAACGAATAAAGACGACCCTTTGGAGGGGCTGTTCCAGGGAGGAGGTCGATGGCACAGTCGTACGGTCGGTGAGGGGGCAGAGATGTGGCTCTTGCTTTGTTAAACACCTCTCTGAGACCATGGTAGCATTCTGGGACATTGGAGAGGTCAGGAGCGGAGTTAGTAGGTACTGGCCGAGGGGGTAGTGCGGCAGCAAGCAGGCAGGTTCGGTGGCAGTCCTCTCCCCACTCCCTGATCACCCCGGTCACCCAGTCGAGCTGAGGGTTGTGCCGGCGGAGCCATGGGTAACCCAGGATGAGGGGTTGGCCTGGAGAGGGGAGCAGGTGAAACTGGATAGTTTCTTGATGGTTTCCGGACAGACCCATCGAGACCGGGGCCGTGACATGAGTGACCGATCCGAGTAAGTGTCCGTCCAGTGCCCGGGCAGGAATAGGAGGTGTCAAACGGAGGTTCTCCAGTCCCAGTTGGCGTGCCAGCTTGATGTCCATTATGTTGGCTTCGGCGCCAGAATCCACCAGAGCAGCCAGGGTGTGAGTTGAGTCAGAGATGCGGAGGTGAACTTGCAGCAGGGGTTTGCGGTCGGAGGACTGGATGGTCATTGAACTCAACCGGACTCCCCCTATGCCCGGTGAGCTTCGGCCCTTTAAAGGGCAGGTTACCACACGATGTCCATCACCTCCACAATAGAGGCAGAGGTTTGAGGTGAAGCGGCGCTGGCGCTCTGCAGGAGTGAGAGAGGCTCGCCCAATCTCCATAGGCTCAGACTGATCAAGCTGACCTGGGTGAGTGGCAGTAGATGACAGGAGCCCAGTCGGATCTCTCCGAATGCCGGTAGTAGGTGGACCTTGGCGCCCCCTCTCACGACGACGGGTCTGTATCCTTCTGTCGATCCTGACAGTCAGTGCGATGGCTTCATCAAGAGTGGAAGGCAGTTCATGGGAGACCAACTCGTCCTTGATATAGTCAGCCAAACTATGGAAGAACGCGTCCACCAACGATGGTGTGTTCCAAGAACTTCGTCTAGCCAGGGTTCGGAAGTCGATGGAATGGTCTGCGACTGTACGTCTGCCTTGTCGAATACTGAACAGTTCACGAGACGCCTCTGCGGTGGGTGAATCCAGGTCAAACACCTTCAGCATCTCCTCAGCAAACAGGTCGAAGGTTGCACATGCGGGGGTTTGACGTTCGAACTCTGCTGTTCCCCAGAGTCGAGCTCGGCCCGTCAGGTGAGTGATGGCATACCCAACTTTAGCCCCCTCCGTGGCGAAGGTCCTTGGCTGCAAGGAGAACTGAAGTCGGCAGCTAGTCAGGAATGGCCGGACCTGGGTTGAGTCGCCGTTGAACCGCTCGGGGTTTCCAATCTTGGGTTCCGGAGCAGCGGCTGCAATGACCGGGGCAGGTAACTCGGGGGCAGGGCTGGTGGGCAGACTGGCTGGGGTAAGGTTGGTGAGGAGTTGAATGATCATGGCGAGTTGTTGTTGCTGCTGCTGGAACTGCTGCTCATGCTCATCGGTTTCCATGTCGGGGAAAGTGTGCGCTGAGTCCATAATGGTCAGATCGTACTGTCACGGTTCAGACAGACGACCAGAGGACCACAATTGCGTCACACCAGAAAGTTTATTAAAACTTAAGGGAAAAGGGAAGTAGGGAGTGAATGAAGGCTCCAGGGGTAACAGGGATCCCGTCCAATGTGCTGGGTCTGTGCCCCCCCCAGTGGCAGCGATGCGTCCTATGAAGCCGGTGGTGGGTGGTCCAGAAGTCCTGGGGGGGGGAGACACAGACACAACAGGGCGGAATGAAACAAGGCAGCAGTACAGTTCAAGGGAAATCCAAAATACGTAGTAGCAAGGCAGAAGGCTGGTCAGAGTTACCGGGATAGAAGAGTAGTCAGGAGTCGTTATGGCAGAAGCAGGTCTGGATCTCCTGGGGCAGAAGAGTATCCAAAAATCAGGCAGGTCCGGGGTCACAAAACCAGGGTGAGCCAGAAGCGCGAGCAAACAGGTTCCGGGTGTGAGCTTTGCAGACGATCTGACAAAGGAGAGCTGAAAGACAGGGCTTTAAATACTGGGAGAGGTTGTGGGTAATGCAGCGCAGCTGGCAGAGTAATTAGAGCAGAGCAGAGCAGGGACAGGTGGAGCTAGTTAGGCTGAGTAGAGAGAGTGGTGAGCAGAGTGGAAGAAAATTAAGGTGGTAACCCGGTGGAGTGAGAGGCTCATGACAATATAAGGAAGTCAGTCAATTTAAATAAATAAATTAGGCCCTAATCTATGGATTTCACATGACTAGGCAGGGGCGCAGCCATGGATGGGCCTGGGATAGGTCCACCCACTGGGGAGCCAGGCCCAGCCAGTCAGAATTAGTTTTATTACAGACAGAAATACTCAGTTTCATCAGCTGTCCAGGTGACTGGTCTGAGACGATCCTGCAGGTGAAGAAGCTGGATGTGGAGTTCCTGGGCTGGCGTGGTTACACGTGGTCTGCGGTTGTGAGGCAGGTAGGACGTACTGCCAAATTCTCTAAAATGATGGAGGCGGCTTATGGTAGAGAAATGAAACATTCAATTCTCTGACAACAGCTCTGGTGGACATTCCTGCAGTCAGCATGCCAATTGCACGCTCCCTCAAAACTTGAGACATCTGTGGCGTTATGTTGTGTGACAACAGCACATTTTAGTGGCCTTTTTATTGTCGCCAGCACAAGATGCACCTGTGTAATGATCATGCTGTTAATCAGCTTCTTGATATGCCACACCTGTCAGGTGGATGGATTATCTTGGCAAAGGAGAAATGCTCACTAACAGGGATGTAAACAATTTGTACACAATCTGAGCTAAATAAGCACTTTGTGCACATGGAAAATTTCTGCTATCTTTTATTTCAGCTCATGAAACATGGGACCAACACTTTACATGTTGCGTTTATATTTTTGTTCAGTATAGTTCTTACATCATTGCGATCTCCATATCTTCTACTTCAGGCAAGAAAAATTACTCAAAACCAGGAAAGTCAGACCAGAGTGCAGCATCAGACGAGAGCAAACGAGCAAAGACACCCGGCGACACCACCACAAAGAAGAGGAAGAAGAGGAGCATGGGAGAAGTGAAGAGCAGAACGGGGTGGTGGAGGAGTCGAAAGTGAAGGCTGACAACTCCTGCTACAACAGAGAGCGAAACGACAGACGCTAAGAAGGCAGCACCTACAGAAGCAAAGACGGAGCGCTCTGTCCCAACAGACTCTGCAGAGGCCGGATAGACTGGGGTAAAGACTGAAACCTCTACCCCAGCCGAGGGCACCGATGTTGGGGAGAAGGTGGAGAAGCAAGAGGCTGTCCTGGAGGAGGAGGCCTCTCCTATGAAGGTCACTGATACTCCAACAGCGGTAACTGCCATGGAGACAGAGAACCAATCAGAAATTCCAAAGGATGTAGTGGTGGGGAGCCTATCATCTGCCAAAGTAATGGAGATGGGACAGAAGACCCAATCTGAGACGCCAGTACCAGACAGCACGTCGTCCAAGAAGTCTGAGTCTGAGTGCCCCTGAGACTGCTACTACCAGCACAACCAAGAGGAAGGGCAGGAGGAAGAGCACCAAGCAGGAGCCTGAGGAACAGACAACCGTAGAGGAGGTTGAGACGAAGCCAGATGCTGTAGAAGTGCCACTAGCAGAAGAGATCACGGCCACCCCACTAAAGAAGACTTGGAGGGAGAAGGCTAAATGGACTGCTGAGAGCACAAAGGAAGAAGTCGCTGAAATAGACGCAACACCGGTAGACACGACACCACAGACACTAAACCAGAAGCCACACCAGCTGTGGAGCCTCCAGCTGACGTCCGCATCGCCACCACTCCCTGAAAAAGAAGAAACTAAAGGTGGCCAAGTCTGAAGAGGAGAGCGTGGAGGTCGAGGGTGAAATGCAGCCATGAAACTGAAGCGGACGTCATACTTGTAATGCTGAGACAGCGCCAGCAGAAATCGCTACATCAACCCCCGCTCAAAAATAAGAAAAAGAAGGCGGCCAAGGCTGAAGAACAGAGCGTGGAGGCCGAGGGTGAAACGCAGACGGAAGCAGACTCAAACCTTACACTTGTAGACGCTGAGGCGGAGCTGGTAGAGGTTGCTACCACCAACTCCACTCAAGAAGAAGAAGAAAAAGAAGGCAGCACAGGTAGCTGAGGAGTAGGAGCCAGAGACCACAGCAGTGGAGGAGAGCATTGCAGAGGAGCAGCCCACAGAGGCTGACCTGGAGACTCCTGTGAAGAAGGGAAGAAGAAGAGGAAGATCCCGGTAGTGATTGAGGTCGAGGCTGAGGAGTTGGAGGCCGAGGCAGAGTCTGCTACAGTCAACGGGGTGGCTGGAAGCAGAAAGCTAAACTGAGCTACGTGAGTTTTAAGTTCACATTGACTTCACTTCCTAGGCCCAGGTTGAATCAGCCTGCCACATTTGATGATGTCCCCCTCCATCAAATATGCAAATAGTTGAAAGTTATTTCCTAAATGCATAACATTTTAGTTAGCATAAGTGTAGCTGATGTTAGCTATGTGCTTGTAGCCATTGAACAGGTTTCTTGTTTATACATTTTTGACTTTTGTTAAATTGCTTTGTGTTTCATCCTCTTCTCAGGACAACGAAGAGCCGTCCACACCAGTGAGCGCCAAGAAAACAATGTAATACTAGGCAGCTTCTGTGTCAAACCAGTGTTTAGTACCTTCTTCTTGCTGGACAGTGATGTGCTGGGGCTTCCCTTGGATCTCTTGAAGAAGAGGGGTGTAGGGATGGTGGCAATGGTTCTGGAACGTAATGAAGTCAGACTCTGCCTCTGCCTTAGCCTTCTTGGGCATCATCTTTTTTAAGTTACTTCATCACCATCTCTCCTTGTAAATGTCTTATCACAAATGTGTAATCCCATTTTAATCAATTTCTTTCACAGAAGAAGTGTCAGACTCCAAAGTCCGAATCCAAGAAGGTTACCTTTGGACTTAATAAAAACAAAACTGCAGGTATGAGAGGGCCGGATAGCACCTTATCTACTCATACAACGGACAAGACCTCTATTATTTCCCAATGTACAGTGGGGAAAAAAAGTATTTAGTCAGCCACCAATTGTGCAAGTTATCCCACTTAAAAAAGATGAGAGAGGCCTGTAATTTTCATCATAGGTACATGTCAACTATGACAGACAAAATGAGAAAACAAAATCCAGAAAATCACATTGTAGGATTTTTAATGATTTATTTGCAAATTATGGTGGAAAATAAGTATTTGGTCAATAACAAAAGTTTTCTCAATACTTTGTTATATACCCTTCGTTGGCAATGACACAGGTCAAACGTTTTCTGTAAGTCTTCACAAGGTTTTCACACACTGTTGCTGTTATTTTGGCCCATTCCTCCATGCAGATCTCCTCTAGAGCAGTGATGTTTTGGGGCTGTCGCTGGGCAACACAGACTTTCAACTCCATCCAAAGATTTTCTATGGGGTTGAGATCTGGAGACTGGCTAGGCCACTCCAGGACCTTGAAATGCTTCTTACGAAGCCACTCCTTCGTTGCCCGGGCGGTGTGTTTGGGATCATTGTCATGCTGAAAGACACAGCCACGTTTCATCTTCAATGCCTTTGCTGATGGAAGGAGGTTTTCACTCAAAATCTCACGATACATGGCCCCATTCATTCTTTCCTTTACACGGATCAGTCGTCCTGGTCCCTTTGCAGAAAAACAGCCCCAAAGCATGATGTTTCCACCCCCATGCTTCACAGTAGGTATGGTGTTCTTTGGATGCAACTCAGCATTCTTTGTCCTCCAAACACGACGAGTTTAGTTTTTACCAAAAAGTTCTATTTTGGTTTCATCTGACCATATGACATTCTCCCAATCCTCTTCTGGATCATCCAAATGCACTCTAGCAAACTTCAGACAGGCCTGGACATGTACTGGCTTAAGCAGGGGGACACGTCTGGCACTGCAGGATTTGAGTCCCTGGCGGCTAGTGTTGTTACTGAATGGAAAAAACGGCCACCAAGATGTGTTTTTCCAAGATTCGTCTAGCAGGGTCGAAGTCGAGGAATGTCTGCGACTGTACGTCTGCCTTGTCGAATACTGAACAGTTCACGAGACGCCTCTGCGGTGGGTGAATCCAGGTCAAACACCTTCAGCATCTCCTCAGCAAACAGGTCGAAGGTTGCACATGCGGGGGTTTGACGTTCGAACTCTGCTGTTCCCCAGAGTCGAGCTCGGCCCGTCAGGTGAGTGATGGCATACCCAACTTTAGCCCCCTCCGTGGCGAAGGTCCTTGGCTGCAAGGAGAACTGAAGTCGGCAGCTAGTCAGGAATGGCCGGACCTGGGTTGAGTCGCCGTTGAAACCGCTCGGGGTTTCCAATCTTGGGTTCCGGAGCAGCGGCTGCAATGACCGGGGCAGGTAACTCGGGGGCAGGGCTGGTGGGCAGACTGGCTGGGGTAAGGTTGGTGAGGAGTTGAATGATCATGGCGAGTTGTTGTTGCTGCTGCTGGAACTGCTGCTCATGCTCATCGGTTTCCATGTCGGGGAAAGTGTGCGCTGAGTCCATAATGGTCAGATCGTACTGTCACGGTTCAGACAGACGACCAGAGGACCACAATTGCGTCACACCAGAAAGTTTATTAAAACTTAAGGGAAAAGGGAAGTAGGGAGTGAATGAAGGCTCCAGGGGTAACAGGGATCCCGTCCAATGTGCTGGGTCTGTGCCCCCCCCAGTGGCAGCGATGCGTCCTATGAAGCCGGTGGTGGGTGGTCCAGAAGTCCTGGGGGGGGGGAGACACAGACACAACAGGGCGGAATGAAACAAGGCAGCAGTACAGTTCAAGGGAAATCCAAAATACGTAGTAGCAAGGCAGAAGGCTGGTCAGAGTTACCGGGATAGAAGAGTAGTCAGGAGTCGTTATGGCAGAAGCAGGTCTGGATCTCCTGGGGCAGAAGAGTATCCAAAAATCAGGCAGGTCCGGGGTCACAAAACCAGGGTGAGCCAGAAGCGCGAGCAAACAGGTTCCGGGTGTGAGCTTTGCAGACGATCTGACAAAGGAGAGCTGAAAGACAGGGCTTTAAATACTGGGAGAGGTTGTGGGTAATGCAGCGCAGCTGGCAGAGTAATTAGAGCAGAGCAGAGCAGGGACAGGTGGAGCTAGTTAGGCTGAGTAGAGAGAGTGGTGAGCAGAGTGGAAGAAAATTAAGGTGGTAACCCGGTGGAGTGAGAGGCTCATGACAATATAAGGAAGTCAGTCAATTTAAATAAATAAATTAGGCCCTAATCTATGGATTTCACATGACTAGGCAGGGGCGCAGCCATGGATGGGCCTGGGATAGGTCCACCCACTGGGGAGCCAGGCCCAGCCAGTCAGAATTAGTTTTATTACAGACAGAAATACTCAGTTTCATCAGCTGTCCAGGTGACTGGTCTGAGACGATCCTGCAGGTGAAGAAGCTGGATGTGGAGTTCCTGGGCTGGCGTGGTTACACGTGGTCTGCGGTTGTGAGGCAGGTAGGACGTACTGCCAAATTCTCTAAAATGATGGAGGCGGCTTATGGTAGAGAAATGAACATTCAATTCTCTGACAACAGCTCTGGTGGACATTCCTGCAGTCAGCATGCCAATTGCACGCTCCCTCAAAACTTGAGACATCTGTGGCGTTATGTTGTGTGACAACAGCACATTTTAGTGGCCTTTTTATTGTCGCCAGCACAAGATGCACCTGTGTAATGATCATGCTGTTAATCAGCTTCTTGATATGCCACACCTGTCAGGTGGATGGATTATCTTGGCAAAGGAGAAATGCTCACTAACAGGGATGTAAACAAATTTGTACACAATCTGAGCTAAATAAGCACTTTGTGCACATGGAAAATTTCTGCTATCTTTTATTTCAGCTCATGAAACATGGGACCAACACTTTACATGTTGCGTTTATATTTTTGTTCAGTATAGTTCTTACATCATTGCGATCTCCATATCTTCTACTTCAGGCAAGAAAAATTACTCAAAACCAGGAAAGTCAGACCAGAGTGCAGCATCAGACGAGAGCAAACGAGCAAAGACACCCGGCGACACCACCACAAAGAAGAGGAAGAAGAGGAGCATGGGAGAAGTGAAGAGCAGAACGGGGTGGTGGAGGAGTCGAAAGTGAAGGCTGACAACTCCTGCTACAACAGAGAGCGAAACGACAGACGCTAAGAAGGCAGCACCTACAGAAGCAAAGACGGAGCGCTCTGTCCCAACAGACTCTGCAGAGGCCGGATAGACTGGGGTAAAGACTGAAACCTCTACCCCAGCCGAGGGCACCGATGTTGGGGAGAAGGTGGAGAAGCAAGAGGCTGTCCTGGAGGAGGAGGCCTCTCCTATGAAGGTCACTGATACTCCAACAGCGGTAACTGCCATGGAGACAGAGAACCAATCAGAAATTCCAAAGGATGTAGTGGTGGGGAGCCTATCATCTGCCAAAGTAATGGAGATGGGACAGAAGACCCAATCTGAGACGCCAGTACCAGACAGCACGTCGTCCAAGAAGTCTGAGTCTGAGTGCCCCTGAGACTGCTACTACCAGCACAACCAAGAGGAAGGGCAGGAGGAAGAGCACCAAGCAGGAGCCTGAGGAACAGACAACCGTAGAGGAGGTTGAGACGAAGCCAGATGCTGTAGAAGTGCCACTAGCAGAAGAGATCACGGCCACCCCACTAAAGAAGACTTGGAGGGAGAAGGCTAAATGGACTGCTGAGAGCACAAAGGAAGAAGTCGCTGAAATAGACGCAACACCGGTAGACACGACACCAGCAGACACTAAACCAGAAGCCACACCAGCTGTGGAGCCTCCAGCTGACGTCCGCATCGCCACCACTCCCCTGAAAAAGAAGAAACTAAAGGTGGCCAAGTCTGAAGAGGAGAGCGTGGAGGTCGAGGGTGAAATGCAGCCAGAAACTGAAGCGGACGTCATACTTGTAGATGCTGAGACAGCGCCAGCAGAAATCGCTACATCAACCCCGCTCAAAAATAAGAAAAAGAAGGCGGCCAAGGCTGAAGAACAGAGCGTGGAGGCCGAGGGTGAAACGCAGACGGAAGCAGACTCAAACCTTACACTTGTAGACGCTGAGGCGGAGCTGGTAGAGGTTGCTACACCAACTCCACTCAAGAAGAAGAAGAAAAAGAAGGCAGCACAGGTAGCTGAGGAGTAGGAGCCAGAGACCACAGCAGTGGAGGAGAGCATTGCAGAGGAGCAGCCCACAGAGGCTGACCTGGAGACTCCTGTGAAGAAAGGGAAGAAGAAGAGGAAGATCCCGGTAGTGATTGAGGTCGAGGCTGAGGAGTTGGAGGCCGAGGCAGAGTCTGCTACAGTCAACGGGGTGGCTGGAAGCAAGAAAGCTAAACTGAGCTACGTGAGTTTTAAGTTCACATTGACTTCACTTCCTAGGCCCAGGTTGAATCAGCCTGCCACATTTGATGATGTCCCCCTCCATCAAATATGCAAATAGTTGAAAGTTATTTCCTAAATGCATAACATTTTAGTTAGCATAAGTGTAGCTGATGTTAGCTATGTGCTTGTAGCCATTGAACAGGTTTCTTGTTTATACATTTTTGACTTTTGTTAAATTGCTTTGTGTTTCATCCTCTTCTCAGGACAACGAAGAGCCGTCCACACCAGTGAGCGCCAAGAAAACAATGTAATACTAGGCAGCTTCTGTGTCAAACCAGTGTTTAGTACCTTCTTCTTGCTGGACAGTGATGTGCTGGGGCTTCCCTTGGATCTCTTGAAGAAGAGGGGTGTAGGGATGGTGGCATGGTTCTGGAACGTAATGAAGTCAGACTCTGCCTCTGCCTTAGCCTTCTTGGGCATCATCTTTTTTAAGTTACTTCATCACCATCTCTCCTTGTAAATGTCTTATCACAAATGTGTAATCCCATTTTATCAATTTCTTTCACAGAAGAAGTGTCAGACTCCAAAGTCCGAATCCAAGAAGGTTACCTTTGGACTTAATAAAAACAAAACTGCAGGTATGAGAGGGCCGGATAGCACCTTATCTACTCATACAACGGACAAGACCTCTATTATTTCCCAATGTACAGTGGGGAAAAAAAGTATTTAGTCAGCCACCAATTGTGCAAGTTATCCCACTTAAAAAGATGAGAGAGGCCTGTAATTTTCATCATAGGTACATGTCAACTATGACAGACAAAATGAGAAAACAAAATCCAGAAAATCACATTGTAGGATTTTTAATGAATTTATTTGCAAATTATGGTGGAAAATAAGTATTTGGTCAATAACAAAAGTTTCTCAATACTTTGTTATATACCCTTCGTTGGCAATGACACAGGTCAAACGTTTTCTGTAAGTCTTCACAAGGTTTTCACACACTGTTGCTGTTATTTTGGCCCATTCCTCCATGCAGATCTCCTCTAGAGCAGTGATGTTTTGGGGCTGTCGCTGGGCAACACAGACTTTCAACTCCATCCAAAGATTTTCTATGGGGTTGAGATCTGGAGACTGGCTAGGCCACTCCAGGACCTTGAAATGCTTCTTACGAAGCCACTCCTTCGTTGCCCGGGCGGTGTGTTTGGGATCATTGTCATGCTGAAAGACACAGCCACGTTTCATCTTCAATGCCTTTGCTGATGGAAGGAGGTTTTCACTCAAAATCTCACGATACATGGCCCCATTCATTCTTTCCTTTACACGGATCAGTCGTCCTGGTCCCTTTGCAGAAAAACAGCCCCAAAGCATGATGTTTCCACCCCCATGCTTCACAGTAGGTATGGTGTTCTTTGGATGCAACTCAGCATTCTTTGTCCTCCAAACACGACGAGTTTAGTTTTTACCAAAAAGTTCTATTTTGGTTTCATCTGACCATATGACATTCTCCCAATCCTCTTCTGGATCATCCAAATGCACTCTAGCAAACTTCAGACAGGCCTGGACATGTACTGGCTTAAGCAGGGGGACACGTCTGGCACTGCAGGATTTGAGTCCCTGGCGGCGTAGTGTGTTACTGATGGTAGGCTTTGTTACTTTGGTCCCAGCTCTCTGCAGGTCATTCACTAGGTCCCCCTGTGTGGTTCTGGGATTTTTGCTCACCGTTCTTGTGATCATTTTGACCCCACGGGGTGAGATCTTGCGTGGAGCCCCAGATCGAGGGAGATTATCAGTGTTCTTGTATGTCTTCCATTTCCTAATAATTGCTCCCACAGTTGATTTCTTCAAACCAAGCTGCTTACCTATTGCAGATTCAGTCTTCCCAGCCTGGTGCAGGTCTACAATTTTGTTTCTGGTGTCCTTTGACAACTCTTTGGTCTTGGCCATAGTGGAGTTTGGAGTGTGACTGTTTGAGGTTGTGGACAGGTGTCTTTTATACTGATAACAAGTTCAAACAGGTGCCATTAATGGAGGACAGAAGAGCCTCTTAAAGAAGAAGTTACAGGTCTGTGAGAGCCAGAATTCTTGCTTGTTTGTAGGTGACCAAATACTTATTTTCCACCATAATTTGCAAATAAATTCATTAAAAATCCTACAATGTGATTTTCTGGATTTATTTTTCTCAATTTGTCTGTCATAGTTGACGTGTACCTATGATTAAAATTACAGGCCTCTCATCTTTTTAAGTGGGAGAACTTGCACAATTGGTGGCTGACTAAATACTTTTTTCCCCCACTGTATATACTTTGTTGTTCCGTGTTCAATGATAATCTAGCTTCTGCATCCTCATTTCTTTACAGTTCAATGTTGTTCCATAGTTTTGATGAGACTTTCCTATTTGTTTTTGCCCGTTTATGATCCCCAGAATTCAGGATGTCTGATCACAGGCTACTGGTGAGTCCAGAGGGGTCGTCCAGAGTGCCATTTGACCCCCAGCAGAAACCCCGGTTCGGAGTGCTGAAGGCCTCAGTGGCCTCTCTTACCAACAGAACCAATAAGAAGACCAAGAGCACCCCTAAAGCCACCCCCAAACGGCCTACCGCTGCTGACTTTCTAGTCCTCAGTGAGGAGACTGGTGAGACAGAGGACAATTCCCCCCTCAGTCACACCCCACTGTTTATCCACTAGGAATATATAATTATGAACTGAATGACCACAGAATCTGTGGTTCCCCCATTGAGAAGAGATTGATATGTTTTTTGTTGTTGAAATATTTTTCGTTTTCCATGTTCTTTTGTTGTTCTGTGGGTGAGCAAGTGTTCAAATAAAGACTCACTCCCTCCTTTTAGTGAACTTGTCTGACTCGGTGAGCTGCCAAACTCGATTATTCATAGACTTCTGCAAGAAAAGTTTGGGCTGTTTGGCAAGACCATGACAAGTTGGCCAAATCAGAAATGGACCGACACCTAGGCTATCAATCTGTCAACTTGGAGTGAAGTTTGATTGGCAGGCAGGGATGTGGATTTAAAAACAATTCATAAGTGGAGAAAAGTTGATGATGTAGGTCAGACGGTGTAACAATACCACTGTACCAAGAATTGCTATGGCAATTTATGTCCACGGTATAGAGAAGGGGTGAAGAATATGTACTGGTTAGGGGATTGTAGGGACCAGCCTTCTCTTGTAGGTTCTGTTCATCAGAAAATCAATGATCCATTCTACCATATTCAACTCTAAATTCATGAGTTCATCTGATGAAACAGGTTGAATAATATCAAATATTCAGCTATAAGATTCTGAACAAATACCAGCTGCCTCATTTCCATTTTTGTCTGAATTGAAGGTCTATTCAAAAGCCCAAAGCCAAATCCTATTTTTTATGTAGTTTAGCACAAACCGAAAAGTTTATTTGCCGTGATTTGCCCAGTTGGATTTGTAATCCTGTATTAAGCATGGCATTAGATGTGCCTCAGCCAAATGCTGAGAGGGAGAGGAAGGCAGACTTACAGGGGAGGAAGAATAGGGTGGCTTGGGGTTAAACTCCAACCTGGGTTAAACTGTAATTCTCACGTAAACCATTGTCACCCCCCAAAAAAATCATGGATGCCACTAGTCATGCTTAGCTAGAAATTCTGCCTGCTTATTTCCCTTCAAAATGTGTTTGCCTAAGCAAGGATTGACAGTATGCACATACAGTATCTAAATCTTACCAAACTTTGCAGTTTTCTGTCAGAAAATATAAATTTCCCTTAAGGGGAGAATTTTCCACCAAGTTACCCTAACTGTCACCTGTGAAATCACACCAGCCTTATATGCACTCTTCTAGTATAATGTACTGTATCTACTTTCTACTGCATAACCCCCATCTGGCTACATCAGCAAACAGCCAATACATTCTGAACAGTTGGACCTAGGTAATGTTAAGTTGCGTCAATTCAAATCTGGTATAGGAACAAAAAGAGGTCAATACACATCTTGTAAAATAGACTAGTATTTTAATTAATGCAAAACACTTCAATGGTAAATATGATGTTCGTATATACGGGCCCACTGAAAAACCACCCAGGGCAGACAGAGAACTGAGCCATTGTTCTAAGTTCTTCTTTAAATACTCTGACAGAGATAGTTCCCGCTCCCTGCTGGCCTATCAGAGTAGAGACTGAGCGTGGTTTAGACTTACTCAGCCTATCGTTGGCGCACAGGCTGGTCCCAGCCCCTTGGCGCTTCACTGTTGCCAGGCATTAGTTGTTATCTCCACAACTTGTCTCGAGTCAGCAACCTCAGACATAGTCTGTCCTTGAGCGGTTTAACAAAGAGGCTGTGTGTGTGTCTGTGTGAATCACAAGTCTGTCTCAGCCTACCCCCATAACAGTTCCCCACATTAATCACAGCTTGTTATGTTTAACAATCTATTATCAGTACAGTACAAACCTAATATGTTTAATCATTAATGTATTTTTTCTAAGCTAGGCATCACATCTAGTTATAAGAAAATAGATCCCCACAATCCCCCTTTTCACACCCACTGGGTGTGAACCCAAAATAAGAAAACCAAAATAAGAAATTTCAGGGAAATGTAGGATCCCCCCTTTTGACACCCACTAGGGTGTCACTCATTAAAATACAATACAAACAAAAAGATTCACACTTTTATTAATAGGCAATAATGATAATAAAAAATAAACCTTCACATAAGGAAAGACAAACATTCACAATGGTTAACTTGATTAATAAAGCATAAAACATAAACAGGGAAGTAAACTTTGGCCCCCTTTAGACACCCACTAGGATGTCACTCCACCACCTCACCAATAGCAAACCAAGGGTCATCCTTTGTCAACTTCATCTCAGTTTCTGCATCCCCTTCTTGAGCCCCTAGGAGGGGCATCATACCAGCCGTATGCACAACATCTGTAACAGACTTTCTCAAACAAGGAATTACACAGGCAGCACAGCACATTAATATTAGAAACACAACTACTAGGGTCAGAAATCCAGTAACCACCAATGATGCGAACTTACCAAACCACTCCCCCAACCGGGAGAACAGTCCGTTTTCCCTCCATTCCAGCCATGCTCTTCATTTCAGCTGATAGTTTATCTAAACCAACTAGGGCTTTAGAGATACTCCCGTCAGGACTGGTATTGTTAGGGATAAACGTACAACAATGGCTTACCATTCTATAGACACCACCCCTTTCTGCCTGATCTAGAGCCAACCTCTTTTTACTAAGTCATAAGAGTGAGATGGCGGATAATTGTTCAAAAGATCCCTTCTGTTTCATCCCTAGTCCAGCCAATAAATCGTTGTTGGTCGTAATAGATATAATTAATCCAATTCACAATTTTGTTTATTGTCACCCACCAAAAGAACGTGGTAGTAAACCCTTCCCCTAATTGTTTCATAGCTCGGTATCCATCCGATACCCCCCTTGGTATCCCAATCGCATCCATCTAAATAGGGCTATTCTCCTTATTGTTAAAACTCCTCCTACATCTGTTTAATCCTTGGTTCCTGGTGACTAATTCTAACTAGTTGAACCAGTAGAACCAGGGCGCACGTATCTAGCCACCCTTTTGGAATTCTCTGCCTTACACTGCCTTTACTGGCACACTCCCACCACACATCGGTTACAGGGGCTGTAAGGTTAAAAATTCTCTCCTGTGCTTCCGAACTTAAGTCCGTCACATTACTACTATCTCCAATTGATAATTGGTGATGTCTTTGTTTCTCTTTACCCCCCATCTGGATGTTCATGTCCCCCTCGGTCTCATATCCCCATCCCCAAGTGTGTTTAAACACTTGAGTCTAGGAACAATCCGCCGGGGGGGCCGAACACGAATATAATGGGATTTTATAATCCCAAATTGCTTATTGACATGTACCCCACCCATTGGCTACGTCCCTAACCCTTATTTTGAATCTGACAGTCTGCCCTTCTCTGACTCCCATTTTGTAGGCCACTCGTCCTTGACGGTCAGTATGTCGGGTCGGGCATAGCACAATTGGTGGTGGATCTTGACATATCAAGACCATTCCCGAGACTATGATGCAACTCAAGTTATCCATATTCCCAAAAACCGCCAACCCTCTCCTGTCCTCAGTCTTTCTGCTTGGTACTACCCCATACTCACACCCTGAGAACACACTACAGTGATGATAGGTCAGGGTAGGAGATCTTCGTTAACAGAGGTGATCCCCAGACCCTATTAGTCAAGTTCTTCTCTCTAACTCTGCATGTGTTCAGTGGTGCTTGCATGTGTTCTTACCTTTTTGCAGTGGGCAACGTGGACCCAGGTTGCTCTTTCTGCTATTCTAATGGCAAAGGCAGTGACCAATATAACCTGATAGGGCCCTTCCCAACAGGCCTGCTTCCAGTTTTTCTTCTTTAGGGACTGGATGCTCACCAGTCACCTGGTTAGATAGAGTGGGTCACCTTCCCCTTTAGTTCACCTGTGGGGCACAAAACCTCTGACATACGGGTGTGGTTAATAAACTATCTTCACACATGTTCAGCTCTCAATTTCTATTTCTGACTGCATTCTCTTTCTAGACTGTATCTAAAAAAAAAATGTGTTCAAGTATTTTGTCCTCTCCTTCGTATATATTTATTATTTAATCCTACCATCCCCCTTTTGACACATGTTTTGCTCATGTGTCAATATTACCACCTACCTAAACAATCACTTAGGTAATATTGTTAATTTATCATCCAATTGCCGTCCCTTATTTCTAAATACTGCCTAATTTTAACATAACAACCCTTTATAACCATCATACTAGGTGTGTTGTTTTTTATTTGAAAAACCCAATTTGAAAAACAACAACCACAAATAGCCAGGCCCCACTTGATTTGGTAGCTCACTGCCTAACTTCACTACTGCTCCCCCTCGCCCTGGGCAACATTCCAATGAGATAAGCTAATCTATTTCTCCTGGTTATACATTTTGTTAACCTTCAATTACCATCAGTAATCTAAAGATGGTAGTACACACAAAACATGATACAGATATCCCCAGTCCTAACCCATCAATAACTGTTTGTATCAATCTAATTCCTCATAACTAATCCATAAAACCACTCAAAATTCCTCGAGTATACAATGATTATTTAATTGATTACCCTAAATCTGCTACATGTGATCTCATCTCAAATGATCCATTATCAATTATTTGATCAACCCCCTAGGAAAATCTGTCTCCCCTTCTATTGTTCCTGTCCCCCCTGTAAATGTCATATTTCATTTTTTAGCCAATACAATCACGGTTACATCAAATGTTCCCTCCTTTGGCCATTTAGTTACTATCTTTCTGGTCCTTTTTCTCATTTGTTAGAGATATTACCAATATCTTCACTATTTTCTGGGAACCTTCTCTTCATGATTGCTACTGGTGATCCTGCCATCTCTACTTCTGGTGTGGTCTAATGTCTATATTAGGGTGTAAGGTAAATTATTCCTGTTGTCTTTTTCAGCTAAACGTTTTATATCCCTCAGTTAATGGTATTTTCTCCCTGATATATCTTCATACTCTTCTTCTTTCCCTAAATGAGATTTAATCCCTTGCCTTTCCTCTACTATCCTTCTATCATTACTGGATCAATGATAATAACTGTAATAACTATTAATAATAATTGTAATAACTATTTCACATTAAATTGTGCCTTTTTCTGATAATGTTATAATTGT